TAAATCTTACTCACTGGACCTTTAACTGGGTATTTCTGATTATTTTTGTTTATAGTGTTAGTCACTCGGCCACTTTCCTCCCCACTGAAACATCTCAACAACCACTAAATGGATTGGCAAGAAATTTTGTACAGACGTTGGTTTCCAGAAGACAAATTCTATAGACTGACTCCACTGATCACCTGACTTTCATTCTATAGCACCGCCTGTACATTGGTATTTTTTGCCTTAAGTGAAATGTCATTTAAACTATTAAATGGATTGTCCTGAAACTTTGGTCATTTTTCCTCTGGTGCTACCAAAAGGTTCAAATGTGTGGTTTGGAGTGAAATATCTCTTTAGATGGATTGCCATGAAATTTGGTTCCCCTTCAGGTTGAACTGGTCTGACTTTGGTGATCCCCTGACTTTTCATGTAGCATCAGGACAAAATGTCATATTTTCAGATTTTTTTTTTTTTTTAAACCAAGTAAATATTAATTCAACTTTATTCTTCATATGTATATGCATGCTAAGCTGACCTGTTATGCCTAAATACTATCTAGGCAACAATTCATTGGACTACTACTATTAAACTCTCTCTATATTCCTGATGATGGAACCAAATCACATTGTTATTTCCAGGAAATTATTAGGAATTTGAAATCAAGAATTATTGCAAACTTGTTAATATTCTAAACAACCACCTCACCTATACAAACTACGTCCATGAAGCCATACATGCCGTAGCATATCTGGAAGAGAAGGTCCTGCCGCTGCCATTTGGCTGAAGGGCTAAGAGAGGACCACACCAACCAGGAGATACTGGCGATGAGGAACAAAGAGCCCAGGATAATGGCCGCAATCTGCACCTTCTCAATCACAGTCAGAGAAATGGCCTGCCACTGGAAAAGACAGAGTGAGACACCTGTAGGTGTGAATTGTGTAATTCTCTTTGATTATGGGAGATAATGTAATGGTTTGTCTCTTCTTTGTAAATCCAACCGTTGCACAATCTCAGCACATATTTCCCAAATGTTTTCTGTAGCTTCATCAGTGGGCTTCACAGGGAATGACAGTGTTTGATTATGCAGGTTTGAAACTAAAGTGAGAATAGTCAATAATGAACTTCAACACACTCCTCTTTGCCTTGCTTATCTGTAGCAGGATAAATTACATACGTCTTAAAACCGAACAAATGACAGCCTGATTCATTCAGTGACTGGTTTCTAGAAACAAATATATCATGAAACAAAGTTAATGCAATGAAAGCAGCTTGTTGAGATGACTGAAACGTTCCACAAAAGACATTACACAGATAACAAAAACAATAATCGAGTAAATTAGAGAATTCCTAAATGAATTAAGCTATTTTATTAATACTATATCTCATTAATTCTCCAAAAATATTTTATTATAATGTTCATTCAGAAATGTAGGGGTTGTCTAGCGAGAGAAGCAACCGAGGGAACAAGTGTTTCATCTGATTATATCTCTGTTCCAGCATTCAGAGGCTGAAATAATTTGGTGATACTGTCTGTTTGTCCATGTGCCACACACTTTGGTTAAATCTTGTGCCAACTCTTTTAAATTTGCAGTGTCTCATAAATGTGTTCTTGGCATCTTCCTATAAGCTCACTTTCTTCTTCTCCATTTGTCCAAAAAAAAACCCTGCATGAATAGCTCTGTGGAAATTGAGATGGGCTGTTTATCTTCCAACAGCAATGTGAAGGTAATGAGCTTCTTGTTGGGAATCAGTGCATGCTGGAGAAAAGCGGTCCAAAATGCCTCTGTGGTGGTGGTATGTAAACCCTGCATGGCCTCTACTGAATGCCATTACATTCGCCTCATGATCAATGTTGTGATTACTGCACTTTTCTGGCAACCACTCCCTCAACTCTGGCAATATAAAGTTTGTGCATGGCTTTCTGTCGTATAGCCTGGTAGTCTAATGTCAAGTACTTTATTATTACAGCTCTTTGAACTGTTTATACTGTACCTGCAGTGGGTTTTTAGTGCTGATGGCCAGGACCTGGTACTTGAAGTAGCAGAGCTCACAGCTCCAGGAGCCTCTCTCACTGATCCAGCGGATAAGGCAGGACTGGTGGGTACAGCGCACTGAGCCATCACAGCGACAAGGGCTCAACAACTCCCCCTGCAGGACACAAACAGCAGCTGCATTGGATGCACAGCGTTTAACAGAGGCAGCTGGATGTTGAAGCTGTTATTGAATCTGCCTGGTTCAAGATTTAATTTGGTGAAGATGACAGAAAAACAAAATAAAGATAAAGATCTTTATCAACTGACAATGTTACAGTCACATTTTATCTACTGAAGGTACAGTATCGTTTGAGGGGTTTTGTATTTGCTGTTGTTTTTGTGAGGAAGCTGGCAAGGGATTAAAAAAGATAATAACAGCTTGGAGCAAGCACCAAAAGATATCATCAATATGTAACTATACTGCATGCAAATGGATAATACGTTCAGAAAGGAGAGGAAAAAAGTATCACTTTAAAAGTTAATCTGGGTCAGATTTGGTTGTTTTTGAGATGAACCTGAAATTTAATACTGGGATTGTTGACAGATAAAGACAAAATATGAGTGTTAATTGATTAATGTTATTGTCTTTTATACATTTTGGGTATAGTTGAATATGATATAAGTATATTTGTTTGATTTCTTGACAGGCAACGTTCAATCCTGTCTCAATGTTGATTTGTTACATTTGTCAGAGAGAGAAAGGGTTTCAAAGTGACATTAACGCCAACTCATCTCACATCTACAATGCACAGGTCAAGTCAATGTTTTTTTCCCTCTCTGAGCTTCTTCATTGTCTCTGTTGAGCAAGAGAAGCTGAGGCGGTAAGATGAAAGCTCCCACATCCCCGTTGCACTTAATGTTCACTTTCATTGCCAATCGACTGCTATTTTTATGGTTCTTTTGAGTTAATTGGAACAAACCAGAGCTGCACTTTTTTGTAAGATTGTGTTGTTCAAATTGTAATTACTCTATGAGGAATTTCACAAAGAAAATGACTGCATATCTCAGTCCTGATGAACGTTTGTGATAAGATTTTTGCAGCAATGATCGTCCAGAATTCCTGAGAAAAGCTTTCAGCCGTCAATCCCCCCTTTTATTGTTTTATTAGAGCCAATTATGGTATAAAAGCGGGTGCACATCATTATTACGAAGATTTCTCAAGCAGCACGAACTCTGAATAGTTAGTTATGTGCTGACTTGAAAGGGAAATTTCAGTGTTATATTTTAGATATGCTCACTGCTGCAGTCAAAGCATACACGTGCCTTTATATCTTGAGCTGCAGACGCTCAAAACATGAATCAAAGTGTAATAAAGGGAGATTATACTGTATACTTGTTTTGACTGCATTTTAACACCTTCATCTGGATACGCAGAGCTTCTCTCGTGTCACTTTCCCATAGCCTCAAAAGAAATCACGGGACATCTGGCACAGGTTTTTGTTGTCAGTGTGAGACTCCCTAAGGCCGTCGGACTGACAACGCTCTCACACATCTCACTTTATTTCCTGTCTGACTCTAGGTGATGTGCGAGGTCTTTAATTAGTTGGTTATCTGGAGGGGAAACTAAAACTTTCTGAAACCTCTAGCAAATCCTGTCTCTTCAAGGTTGATTTCATCCACTAGATTTGACGCGCTGGCACATCTACGTCTTGGACTAATGTTAATTTTTTTAGAAAACATTTTCACTACTTTCTGTGCTTCCACCCCCTCTGTTCTCCTTCATGTGGCTAGGAGACACTTAAGCCTTCCTGTAGCCTAAAGGAATGATTTGATCCCTGCATTAAATGTGAGTCACTCAGCAAGTTACTGAACTCATACTGCCTCCTACATTCAAGTCACCCAGAATAATAACGAGTATAAACTTCTTTGTGTCGAGGAATCATTCTCTGAAACCTTTTTTTGTAGCTTTTTATAAAATGGCCTAATTTTGTGTATCAGATGCTGAATCTATTACTATGAGGACTTCACTGCTTCACATAGAACATACAAAGCTCCTCCTTCGTCTCTCCAGCCTATTCTTAACTGATGCCCTTCGTCTGCCCACTGCTATTTTCAGACCGCTGTTGATGGATTGATTCCTTTTTTTAGTCATTCTGGATTTTTCTTTGCATCTGAGCAGACTTGGTGCTCATTCACAGATATCTGAAACTGTTTGGTATTAATGTATAATGACTCGTATCTTCATCATGAGTATTTAAAACTGTACCCCGCCCCCTCCCCCCACAGTGGCCCAGGTTCGATTCCCATTCACAGCCCTTTCCTGCATCTCTCTCTCTCTCTTTCTCCCCCCTCACTCTTCACCCAATCCTATCAAATAGAGCCAGTAAACTGATTTTCATTCCACTGATTTTGCACACACATATCTGTTTATTTGTTATAAACACTACTTTTTTCCAGCCTCTGAAAACAGTAGTATAATGTCTTCTGTAATAGCCCTGATGATGTCATAGTGATGTCATCGGGGTTATCTGAGAGAAAAGCTGTGGTACAAACTCACATGGACACAAGCCGTATGTCCACCACATGGTGCGGCTCATCCCTACTCTCTTTTGGTATCTTTACTTGGTTTTCTACTGTAGATAGTACTTTGGATAGTGACCCTTCAATGGTGGAGCTGACCGTCATAGTGAAGCAACCAGGAAACAACAGAGAGCTTTATTTTGGCCTTGAGAAGCTGCAGCCTTTATTCACTAATAAACTGTAACCTACAATTACTGCCAGATTGACAACTTCACTGTTCTCTTTTCCCTCTCCACCACTCATATTCACAGCTTTCTTTCTCTTTCACTCAGCCACACACCAACTACACACACACATACACACACACACACACACACACAAAGGAGCTGCTACTCTTATAACATAGAATATGCACAGATTTGTGATACATCTTTGTCAACTGACCATGGTGTGGTTATACGGTGCCATTTTTAATTGAATAAACAAACTGTGGTCACTATTGATGGTAGCTTGGTTATTTAAACATGCAGGGTTTTCTGGTCTGCAGTGAATTCACATCACCTTAAAATCAAAGTACCAGGAACCAGGTATTAAACTACTGGAGTCCAGTTGTACCATACAGTGGAAAAGCAGCTAAAGCTATTGAGTTGCATGAAGGGAAATACAGGATCTGGTATTGTAGACTGTTTTGACCCACGCTACAGACTGAAAGTCAAGATATCTCAGCCTGATGCTTCAATTTTGATGATTCTGGGGAAATGCAGCACTAAATTCCCGTATATCCCTTTAATGCACCAATCCTTTATTTTTATTATTGTATGAAATCTGTGTTGTTGTTTTTTAAATATGTAAACATCTTAACAAATATTGTTGCCAGCTGGGTTTGTTTGATTTGATTTGAATAATTTCCCATTTACATTTAAGTGTTTAACTGTCTTGATAGCAGGCATGCCTATGAATACTTGAACTCAAACAGCAGAGGGGTTGTGAACCTGATGACCTGCTTTAACAGACTTCCAGACACGTGAGCACCACGTGGTTTGAGACCCCGTGAAGCTGAAAGCACCTGTGCTGCTGAGATGCCTATAGTCTCCAGGAACCTGGACTCATGGGCACCAGGGTCCTACTGAGCACCTGGAGCCCACAGTATTAACACCTGTATTATTTAACAGTACCTTCTCCGGCCCCTGGAAGCAGATCCGGCACTGCGGTGATCGCATCCCGCTCTCTGAGAGACTCGGGAGGGAAGCGGCGTCCAGGCCTCCTCCCTGGGGGTTGTCCCCTTCGTTTTCCTCACACGCCAGGCTGCGTGGCCGGGGGTCAGAGCCATAATATTCCTCCTCATCGTCCCGGTGAGAGCAGCTCAACGGCGGCCAACCACAGCCCCCTATGGCGAGCCCTCGCATCCTGGTCTGAGTGTCCGGGTCTGTGCCTGTGTCACTCCTCCTGCTTGATCCGGAGCGCATCAGTAGCAACACTTTGAGTTCATTGAAAAACATCCGGATCCGATACTTAAACATTCTTCAGCAGCTTCACTACACAGACACAAACAAAACAGCCTTCAGCTTGACTGTGACAGGTCCATTATACAGCATTATTATTATTATGAGTATTATTATTGTTATTATTATTATTATTATTATTAGTAGTAGTAGTAGTAGTAGTATTATGGCATCTGAACCGACAGACAGACAGTTCACATCCTATTCAATACAATACAGATCTCGGTTAAAAAAGCATGCGGAAAACATGATAGGCTATTAGATCAGCCCATAGCTCTTTGCATATCCTGTTGTTATAGCATGTGCACCGCAATCCAGCCAATAGGGAAGGATTATTTTTCATGGATAGAGGCGTTTTCTTTCGGGATTCAATGGAGGCTGATAGCCACGAACTGTGGCACCAACATCAAAGTCAGATGGGGTCCAACAGCATCCTGTCATGCCTCCATTTACAAGTCCGGTGTGTTTATTGGCATCCCGAATGGTTCAAACTGGTCCTCTTGGTGTCTTAAATCAACAAAATGTTGGTGTCTGTTCCTCTGCAGGCGGAAAAGCAGCGAGGGTGTCTGAGAGGGGGTTGATATTAAATCCTATTAACAACTAAGTTAAAGCCGATTTATATTTGAGTTCCTCATTTACCTACAGCGGAGGTGAAATTACACGAGGTGACAAGCGTGCATCCTTTGTTGTCTCGCAGTGGCAGCATCCATCAATCCACCAGTTTCCTCTTCTTCTTAGCTGGAGCCTATTTTATTTTTATTTATTTGTTTGGCTTGTGGGTCGAGCGGGTTTTTCGTCCCACACCTTTTCCCCTCCTGAAAGCAGGTCCGGCGACCCAGTTACAAAGTTACAAACGCGGCAACGTTAGAGACGGACTGAGAAACATCAAATCCGATGAACAATACAAAAAAAAAATCCATTTCACGACAACTTGCAGCGCCAGTTGTGTGCTCTCCCCGACCATCTCTGCGCCACAAATCAGGAGGAGCGAGAGGATGATGGATATATGGATTCCTGCACAAACACACAAAATGAGCCGAAGGCAGACTGCAACCGTCCCTTCCGGGTTGTTAAAAACAACTGCACCTCATCATCACCACCACCACCACCATCACACCTTCACCAAATTAAACCACGGCCTGCATGAATCAGTGGGACAATAAAATGCCACTCCACATGGCGGGCTGTAGCGATGAGTCCAGGATCTTCAGGGTGGTAAAAACTTGATTTTCAGATGTTTTTCAGGCGCTTCGGCTGGGAAACAAAAACTTCTTTATCTGTATAGTTACAGACCGCAGTTTCCCTAACCCACTCCACCCCCCACCCCTCCCCTCCCCTCC